AGTTGTGGATTTAGCTCACTAATAGAGTGATTACCTAACATACATGAGACCTTGAATTTGATCCCCAGCAAAGCAAAAACCAAACAGAAATATTTATATAGAATTTAGATGTTGTGGTCTCATTTTGTATCACTGAATTTAACAAATATTTCTGTCACCTTTTAAATACTTTTATTTTGTATAAATTACAATTATATCATTTTATCACAAAAATCATACAATTCACCATCTATTTTCCCACAAAAATATGAGCTTCATAAGGTAAAGAGGAGGAATGGGTTGACCTTGTTTATATTCCTAGTTTCTAGTACTGTTCGTGGCTCAAAGTAAATCTTCAATAAGTCACCACTTATTGAAACCAAAGACATACAAATAATGGATATCAAAAGGCATGCAAAAATTTGTTAAATGTCTATTGAATAAAACCTATGTATATGTTATAGGAAGTATTCAACAATTATAAAATACTTCATACTAAGTAAAAAAAATCTAGCTAAACATCATTTTGAGTTTATCCTTTATTTTTGATGCCCAAAGAAATTTTTTACTTAAAAATTAACCTTTTACAATAACAATAACTATTACTTTCATTGTATATGACCTTGATCTACTATAAATATCATTTCAGTGTGGCTTCAGCCCTGCCTACAACATGCCTTTTTTCTTTCAGGTCCACTATAGAGTACCAAGTGTTCCTTACCACAACTGTTAAACTCTATTTAGTTAAAAGAAAACACGAAAAGCCAAACGCATGCATTAATAAGATAGAAAATGAATAGCACCAGTTGTAAAAGACTTTAAGAATGAAATTGAATTAAATCTGCTTGCCCCAAACTCAAAGAGACTTTGATGGCCTGTACAGAATTGGGAGAAAAATATGAAAAGGAAGAGCTAACCTAGGGAAAGAGGCCCTGTTTGCAGGGGATGGGGTTTAAAGTTTCCTTGGGAAAATAAAATAAAAATTCCATGGGGCTGGAGAGGTGGCTCAGAAGTTAAGACTTCTAGTCCTAAGGACCCACGTTAGACTCCCAGCATCCACATAGTGGCTCACAACAATCCATAAGTTCCAGGGGATCCAGTGCCCTCTTCTGTCTCCACTAGCACCAGGCACACACATAGTACACAGACATACATGCAGCCAAACCACTCATACAAATAAAAATAATTAATTTTAAATTGCTGTTTCCAAATGGTAAGAGTCTACAAACAAGGGTTGAGACAAAAAGATGGGTAGTTTATGTGTTTTTTTTTTTTTTAATAATTTAACTTTATTTTATATGTGGGCGTGAGATCCCCTGGAGTCACAAACAGTTGTGAGCTGCCGTGTGGGTGCTGGAAATCAAACCTGGGTCCTCTGGAAGAGCAGCCAGTGCTCTTAACCACTGAGCTACCTCTACAACCCCAGGATGTGTAGATTTTGAAAGTGGTCTTGATATATACCATGAGCAGAGATGAATGGATGAAACCTTGAGGGGTTTAACCATGTTAAGTTCTGGTGGAAAAAGACTGTAAGTGATAAGTGGATGCTGGAAGAGGTGACATCAGTGTTGCTTTGGGCAGTGATGCTGGTGGAAGACTTCTCCTTGGATTATATTGACTTCATTGAGGGAGTTCTTATTAAGTAACATGCAGCATCATAGTTGATCCAACCCTGAGAAATGGATAGTCTCGTCCGAAGAAGATGAATGATTAGTGTGCTCTGATTATCCGTTTTGAGCTTTGATATTATAAACTCAAATTTGTGATCCTTCGTCCATGTTTTAAACTGTTACATCTCACCTGCCAGTTTGTTGTCAAGTTTCTCTGGGTCTTTGGTGTTTGATGGGTAAACTCTAAGCAGCATATTGAAGTAATATCATTTCTCATTTGTACCTAATTTATGCATTATATTTCACATAAACAGAGCTCCTAATAATTTTGTGTCTAATCAAAACCTACTTAATGATTCACAATAATTTTAAACTAACCACTTGTCTCCTACAATAAACATTCATAATCTATTTTTAACTCAAATAACAAATTTGACATTTAACTATATTTGCAATGGTATCTTTTGCTTTGGGCCAACGCTTCTAGATTAAAGAAATTTCTTGAATCCTCATTCTGTGCGCTAACTAGAAAACCAATCACTAGGAATCAGAAGTGACATGATAACACCTATCTTTTGAAGGGTGGAACTGCAAGTAACAAATTGATATTTTCAGAAGAATTCAGAGCCATCCTATCTAAAGCCCCTACAGCAGTGGTTCTCAACCTGTGGGTCACAAACCATTGGCAAACCTATATCTTCAAAAATATTTATGATTCATAACAGTAGCAAAATTACAGTTATGAAGTGGCAACAGAAATAACTTTACAGTTGGGGGTCACACAACATGAGGAACTGTATTAAAGGGTCACAGCATCAGGAAGGTTGAGGACCACTGGCCAAGAGGACACAGCTTGGTCTTTTGAGAGGGACTTGAAGGACTCCTGCCCTCCTGGAGAGATGTCTTATAAGAATTAGACTCTTCCTGGAAGTTCTCTCAGGGCAGGGCTGAGAGGGAAGTGCTAACAACAGCAATGGTTGAAAAGGAACAGCTCTGAAGAAGGCCAGCTTTTCCCTTGGAAAATAATTTCAAGAGGTGCCCTGATCCCAACCCCAAAGGAGGTGGCTCCGCCTGGGACCACTTTGCTCCCCTCGCTATTGCATTTCCTCCGCCGCCCAGGCAACATCTCTGCTATCTCTGAGTGCAGTTGTTTGAAATGTCAGACAAGTCAGGAGAGATAGCTTAAGATGTGTGACCTGAAGACTTCAGACTTCCCACCAGTGTGAATCATATAGGACATCCATGATGAAAGAGAAAGGGGACTGTTTTATGTGTAGATAGCTCTTTAGAGTAAGCAGCCAGGTTTGATGAGATAGGGAATTAAGGCGGAGGTAATCTTACTAAGTTAGGAGAACTTATTTGTAAGCTGAAATTGGCAATGACTCTCAAGTGGAAGGATCAAGCACCAGAATCTTGAGTTGTTGTGGAAGTTACAGACCTCTTCCAGCGTATGTGTTGGCAGACTGCTCTACCACTCAGAACAACCTTGATGCAGACAAATATAGACTTTATTTTTCAATTATTTTTGTTCACCAAAAAATGAATATGAGGCCATCAAGTAGACTATAAATAGATAAGCCCTACCTCCCTTGCCGCATTAATGAGGTCTACTATTAGAGACTGGCTTGAATAATGGACTCCTGTGGCTGTTGCTGTGGTCACCCAGCTCAAGCATTCATGTTCATGGAGGCTTAGACCCAGAACAAAAGTTAGGAATCAACAGAGACCTTCCCCAGAAAGCGTTCTGTGTTCTACTTTCTAACAAGAACATGACCTCCTCCTTCTTGCCATCTTCTCCCCAGAAATCAAGGAACTAAGGTCAAGCAGCAATGACACAACTATTTTGGCCACGGGACTTTTTTGTTTGATTTTATGACAATTTTTCTAAACTTATGTTGCAAAATACCATAGCAAAGTCACTTAAGGGGAAAGAGTCAATTGAAACAGCTGTGTGTGTGTACACATATGTGTGTGTGTGTATATATGAGCACACTATTATTTTATTTAACTTAAACCTACATCTGAGCAAACATCGGTACCTGGGCTTTGTATCATTATAATCTCTGGTGTAAAATCAGTCCCAGATTGTGTGTCACTGATAAATGTGACACTTGGAAAGCTAGACAAAAGTAGGGGATCTTGATAATTATTTAGAAGTACATAATAATGAAAAAAATCAACATATCTCTACATTAATATAAATAGTAATATAAATATGTAGTAATTTATATTAGTCATAAACTACTGCATAAGTAGATGACACCATCTTTAATACTCTTTCCTATCAGCAATTTGTATTATTCTTAAAATATTATCATTAAATTTCTGATACATTGGCTATTGAAGTCAAATTGAGGAGCTGTATGGCAAATTATGCACAATTATGTTACTTTACTGGGTTAATTTTTTAAATACTTAACAAAATATTTAAACATATAGAAAAATACAAAAATAACATCACAAGTATCGATATCCAATTCTATTTCACCAGTAAGTTTGGTAAAATTTCCCAAACTCATTTCCTGGGTCAATTCCATTTTCATTATAATAACTAGACTATTTTCAAACCAATAGGAAGAAACATGTGGCAATGATAACGGAACTGTGAGCTGCAGTTTGGGTCCTATGTTTCTCCCAGCATGTTTTAAATGCTAGGTGAGTTACAAGGCACCCCACTGTGTAGAGTCTGTGATACTCACACAAAACCCAAGCTCATTCTCACCAGCCCTTCCCTGAGGCCACTATAGGATTTGGTAAAATCCTGAATCCAGCGACCTTGGCAACTGCTTAAGTTTTATTAGATTGGGCTATTCGTTATGATTTACTATATGTGAAACATAAAAAAAACAAAACAAAAAAACTCAAGTCAGTGACATAGCCCCAATTTCCCTGACTCCTACCTAAAAGAAAGAAAAGCCTCAAATTGGAATACTGGGATTAAAAAGAATGAAGATATGAGATTTTAAAAGAAAAGCGTTTTTGTTTTTACTTAACATTGACAATCTGTACACTGCTAGGTAGGAATTTTGTTTCTACAAAAAAAAAATCATAGAAGACTTTCTTTGACGTAATTACAACCCGATTTTGTTATTATCGATAAGGAAACACACCAGAATGAGAGGCAAGAAAGAATACTCCTAAACAGGCAGATCCCTTCAAATAAGGTGACTTACTCCGTCCTGGGAGAGACCATATCAACCCAGGAGGCAACATCCACAAGAGATGGCTAGAAAACTCAGCGCATGCCACGGGAGGATCTGAACTTCAACCTTTACATGTAGAAACTGGAGAGTCACAGAAAAGCAATGTGAGTATCACCAAAATGAAGGTTTGGTGAGAGAGAAAGCTGAGCCGTCACTGTGTTAAACTATGACATAAAAATAAATAAATAAGCGTCAAGCCAAAACTTACCAGAAAGGAGCAAGCTGACTCCACAGAGAACTAAGCCAGCTAAAGAGTCCATACTTCCCCAGATCTCCCCATCCAGCGTCCACAGATGAGCATGAGGTCCTTGGGAACCTTTCAAAAACCCACAAGTTTGCGACTTCCCACTCGCATGGTCTACCAGCTCTTGTTTACAAGTTGGAGGCAAGAAGGACTCGCACAGAAGCAGGCAGTAACAGTCTCATTTCTGTCGGAGCGCAGGGAGTTTTAAGTTCCTTTTTCCTGTTTCCTTTGTAGATTAGGATGGGAAAGGCTGTATCTTAAAGGCACTTGGTATCAGCAGAGCTGGGGGCACTGCGAGCCCTCTCCATCTCGCCCTTCAACCACGCACTTATCTTTCCTGCTTCGGCTCCTGCCTTGACTGGGTTGTGGGGCAGAGGGATCTTTGTTAGAAGTGAGGTCCTGGTCAGCGTTTTCAGGAACAATAGGGGTATCCTCTCATAGGCCAGGAATTGAATAACAAGCCCTCCACCTATGTATGGTATGCGATGAGGACCAGCCCTTCTCAGACTAATCAGTTCTCTGGGGTGCACTGGGATCCCTGACAGAAGGGGCTTTGGGAGCAGCATTTGCTCTGTGTTTAACTCACAGGGTTTGAATTGGGCAAAGAAGTTTCCTGTCATGAGAAATCATAACCTGGAAAGCAATCAATTTGAGTGAGCACGGCTGAGGTCAGCTCACAGCGTAGCCACGAGAGACTAGATTCCACAACCATTAGCCTATTTTCTTACACCCAGATGGCCTGTTTGTTGGCCCTGAGCCCAAATATACACATGCTACTGGCTACAGCTTTAATTTTTATTAGCGTTTCATCTGAGGGTGATCTAATTTATTGGAGAAGTTGGCATGGGAAGATTTAGTAACATGAATAATTTCATAGTTATTGGCAAACAGTATTTCAGAACAGATTGTATACAAAAACATGGGGGGGGGAGTGCTTTTTGGGAGAGGCACTTATTCTACAGCTTTGGCATGCCTGGACCTCACTCTGTAGCTCAAACTATCCTTGAGCGCATAATGATGCTTCTTCCTCAGCCTCCTGAGTGTTGAGATTACAACCGTAAACCCCACTCCTGGATTGTTCCAGATTTTTTAAAAATACCAGGCAGGTAAAAATAGCTCAGCAGTTAAAACAAAGCCTGAGCTCAATCCAAAGCCCATGTGACGCAAAGACAGTCACCTGAAAATGTGTACCTCATATGTGACCTTAATGAACATGCACATACGTTGAAAATATAAACAAAAAATTAAGTTAGCTCTACAAAGAGCAAACAAAAGTGATTGTGTCTATAGGAGCGGAGTCCGTGGATCAAAAGAAAAAGAATTGCTGTAGGAATGGATTCTCCAGCAAGCTTGGGCTCCCTAAGCTGATCCAAGTGAGTATTTGTCTCAGTGTGGTTTCTCCCTGAAGGATAAGGCAAGCACTCCACTTCACCTGACTTTGCCTGAAGAAAGACTCACCCCTCCCTTTCCCACGAGCAGCAGGAAGAGACACAGTGCTACTGGTCTTGACTGATTTCTGCTCTAGGTGTTATCATTTCAGGAATGATCTTGAGTGCCCACAATGCTTTGAACCTGAGGGGGTAGATAGCTCAGCTCTGTCCTCATGCACACCGGAGGACAAACACTGACTCAGCCTTAACAGTTTGAGAGCAGTTACTGAGAATCAGGAATGCTTCCAACCTAAGGGGTGATTAGCCTAGTTCAGTCCTCCGGGGAGACACAGGCTCAGATTGCGGCTGTGAGGACCAGCCTTCAGCAGCTCATGGATTGAGGGGGATCCACGGAGTCTGTGAACTAATCACTCAACTTGACTTTTCTATCTGAGAGAGTAAAACTTAATTCTATAGGTATGGCGAGGGGTGCAAAACTTAACTCTTTGGGGGTCAGGGAGAAAAGGGAAAAAACATGCACAGAAACTCAGGGTCTCTCTACCATCTTCTCTCATCTCTATTTCTTTTCTTACCTCTATCCAGATGTATCACTTCTGTATCTCTCTTGATGTCTTCCTTCTAACTTTCCTTCTCCATCTTTCCTGGTGTTTTCTGTTGGGAACGTCTGCTCTGGCCCCACTCCCCCCATTCCAGACCCCGCCCCTCAGAAAGCCCACCAAGGGTCGGCTCCTCCCCTGGAGACGCTCAAGACACGCCTACAGGGTATTTAAGGCACGGTCACTACACCTGCCATGTGATTCCTCTCTTGCTTTCTTCCCCCAAGAATCACCCGGGGGTACTTTGCTCATTAAACCTGGACTTTTAATTCGGCCTGATCTGACTTATCGCATCTTTAGAGAAACCCAATATCGGGGCACGGAAACCCTTTCATCTTCCTTCTCTCGTGTCTTTATTTTTTCCCTTACAGCTTATATAACCCAGCAAAATCTTTCAAGCCATATAAAAAGGGAAGTTTTTTTTGTTTTTTTTTTTAATGGGTTGGCTTGCTGAGATTGCCCATGAGAGAGAGAGGCCACTTCCATCACTGGACAAGCCTTTTCCCAACTCATAATGAGGAGTGCTTGGACATGCTCAGAAACCATCTTTAGAAAGTGGATGTGGTCATCATTAGTGCATCTGCATTCTCTGAGGAGCCTTGTTGAGGAAATGGGAGTCAGCTGTACCCTCAGCTGCTCCATGCACTGGAATGGTTCTCCTCACCTTGCCATTTATCTTCTAGCTCTCAGCCTCTAAACCAGTGGTTCTCAACTTCCCTAAGGCTGCGACCCTTTCATACAGTTCCTCATGGTGTGGTGATCCTTAACCATAAAATCATTTTCATTGCTACTTCACAACTGTAATGTTGTTACTGTTATGAACTGTAATATAAATATTTTTAGAGATAAAGGTTTGTCAAAGGGGTCACAACCCACAGGTTGAGAACCAGTGCTTTGAACTTTAGTGTCTAATGGGGCTTTGAACATCAGGTCTCTACAATGGTTTGCTCCACTTCTCTTCATTTCTTTCATGGTACTAATTATACACTTGTGTCTATCTTTTTTATGTCTTTCTCTGCCCCCTAATTGACTGCATCCTCCACAAAACTGGGAACATACCTAACTTCTTTGCCACTAAAGTTCCAAGACTGAGCACAGTGCAGGGCATATAGCGGTCTTTTGTAAATTAGGTTTTATTATGACATATTCAGACAGAATTAGTTTTGTTAATTCTCCTTCTCCCCACCTTTTTCCTATTCCCATGGCCCCACCTTGTACCCTTCTGTCTCCCTTCATAGTAGGTCTTAGATAAATATTTAGTGAGCTGATAAAAATTAAGATACTACCATTGTTCCTCGTATGCTCACGTCAAGTAAAGGGCTTTGAAGTCAGGCAAACCCAGACTTTATTTGTCATATCTGTAATATACTCCGTGTGTAATGTGACCAGTTGCATTCAGGTGTCTAAATCTTCAGACTCCATATCTTTGAAATGGGAAAAAAATAGTAATTTGTATTAAATACATACTGAATAAAAGCACTTCATGGCTTCCTGCTATACCCACAACCACTACCACAACTGGATTGTTTTATGATATTTACCAAGCAAAAATAAAAAATGTACTCTAAAATTTATGTTGTAGGAGCATTGTTGATGATAATCAAAACCAGGAAGCAGTTTGAGTATCAACAGAATATATACGTATCCTAGTACAGGATAAAGTGCCCAACTGTTAGAAGGTGGAGTTGATGGATAGGGAGTGGTGAATGTGTTAGGGTATGTTGACTGGAGAAAGAACTGGTGAGAACAGGGTGAAGTGTTTATACATTCACCTGTACATAACAAACACACCAAAACCTTAAAGTGACTGTTTCTGTGATGTAACAAAACAATACTGGCCATTGTTACTCTACTCTTCATGCTCTTCAACAATCCCGGTACCTCCGAAAGCAATAGTTCTCAACCTGCAGGTCATGACTCCTTTGGAGGTTAAACAACCCTTTCACGGGGGTCGCATATCACATATTTCCATTATGATTCATAACAGTAGCAAAATTACAGTTATGAAGTAGCAACAAAATAATTTTAAGGTTGGGGGTCACCACAACATGAGGAACTGTGTTCAAGGGTCACAGCATGAGGAAGGTTGAGAGCCACTGCTCTAAAGTAAAGAGCAAATATATGAAAGAAGCTAAAGGGGAGTCCTTGCAACCATTAAGCCTTGGCGTAGATGTATTTAATACACTTGGTGGCAAAGTGGACTGAATCCAAGTGACCCTCGCCTGCAGGACTTGAGTGGTCAGATTAGGTGTCTGTGACTTGTAGCCTAGGCTGGCCATTCTGCTTTCTGCTGGTCAGTGGCCCCGGGCCTTGGCGTCATCACATCTGGCTTCTTACAAACTTTCACGAAGCTTTCTGTGAACCTGCTGTTCTTAACAGTGAATAGCAGCAAAGGAAGGGCCATCAATAATCAAGTCCTGGCCTTCAGCCAGGACAGCACAGCTGAAGTGGCAACACCCACGCTGAGGGATGGCTATGGAAAATACCTGACCCTCTCCAGACTGCTTTCCTGAAACCCTGTCAGTGACTGTACCCTTTTCCTTTCCTTTCTCTTTCTGTTTCACTAATTCCTTTCTTTCCCATAAACATCTAACTGGCGAGTAGACACTAAGTCCTTGTAAGATGACACACAAAAGTAGATGATGCATTCTCTGCTTTTGAAGCCCATAATTACACAAGCCAGTGACAATGCATCATAACAGGAAAGGGTAAAGAACAAAACCAAGCATTGTGTGATTAAATGCCAGTGGGTGGTACAGGCAACAAGAGGTTCCGCAGTTCTTTGCTTTGGTACCCTTTGTGCCATAAATCACCCATTAGCATGCCATTTTTTTTTACTCCTGGTGTTTGCTAGGTGCAGGTGGCATCTTCTCAGATACACTTAAGTCCCTTAGGCAGAAGCTTTGTGCTTTCTTTCAGATGAACCTGTGTTGTTAAAGCAAAGAGGGACCAAAACAGCCTCAGTTATTAGGAGACAGAAACCTTCATCGAGCAGGCCTGTGGTCCCAGCTACTCGGAGGATCACAACTTCAAGGTAAGCCTGGACTGAGAAGTGAGTTCAAAGCCAGCCTTGGAAGCTTAGTGAGATCCTATTTGAAAATATAAACTTCTGAGGAGGAGGAGAAAGGGGGAAGATGAGGAGGCAACAGTGTTTAAAGTGGTAGCAGTGGCAGGGGATATAGCTCAGTGGCCTTTGTTCACAGTGGCCTTTGGTTCAACTCCCAGTAGTGAAAAATGAAAAAGGAAGGAAGGAAGGAAGGAAGGAAGGAAGGAAGGAAGGAAGGAAGGAAGGAAGAAGGAAAAAAGGAAGGAAGGAAAGATAGAAAACTTGAAGCAGAGGATGTACTTTGGTGGTAGAGCTCTCGCCTAACATGTTCTATCCATAGGGGGATCAATCTTTAGCATAAGAAAAAAAGGTAATAAAAAATACTCAGAATGGGGATGTAGCAAGTCCCAGTATTTTCTTAAAAAAAAAAAAGCTTTAAAATAAATACAAAGAAAAAGAAAAGGTGAACTCCTATTCATCTTTGAAAATAGAATTCAGAT